ATATATATATAATTTTCTTTCTCATTTTATTGTGTCCAACTAACTAAACAAAAAAATCCAAAAAATTGAAGGACATATTGCACATGGAAGGATATAGAAGAGCCAAATAGCCAACAAAGCATAAATTGAAATGAAGGAAAGAGGCCAAGTGAGAATCACATGGCTTGTCCTCAAATTTATTGCTTTTCTTTTGGTTTATTGTAACTTTCCAATTTAATGGAATTATTGAATCCATTTCTCATAGATATGACATGCATATCTAGATAATATTTAAGCGAGAAACATTTAAAATTTGATCGAACGTCATCTAGAACTTCAATTTCAGCAAACTTATTGTCAAACTGACCGACTCGACGAGAATGACTCAATGGTTTAAGTACACATCAAATGACGTCTGGTCAAGAGAATTTTTCTGTGCCATCTAATCAGATTTGATCAAATTTCTTCTTTATTTGTTACATGAACTCCATAAATAGAGGCATATACCCTCTTGAAATGGGAGAGTGGTCTTGAGCTAGAAGAAGCAGAAGCTTGGAGGAGTGCCAGAAAATCCAGCATCACTTCTAAACCACAAATTCGACAAATACCTCCCACTTCGGTAGCCACGACGCTAAATCCAGCCAACACCACCGGCCAACTCCGGTAAATGTCGCGGCCAACTTTGGCCACAACCGCCGCATGTTTTGGCCACCTTTAGGCGTCATCACTTCTAACAGTCTCCGCAACTACCTCCAAGCCAGCTCTGACCACCACCTTCAGCCAACTCCAATCGATACCCGTCGGCCAAAGTCGATCACCATCGGTTACCACTTGCTCCTTAAAGTGAAGTCTCTTATGTGGTCATAGCAAGCATTGTGGAATCCCAGTATACATTGTGGGATAGTGAATCGCCTTGTGGAGTAATGTGTCGTCCAATACACCGTGCAAAAAAACGCCTTGAAAAACGTTATAACAAAACACCCTAAAACAATACAATGACATACCCCAATGATGGTCTAACAATACACCTCGAATACGGGTGTAACAATGCACCCTGAAGATTGTGCAAAAATACACCTCGAATACAGTGTGATGACACACCCTGAAGACGGTGTAATAATGTGCTCCACATAGTGTACAACGACATCTTGTGAGATGGTGCAACAACACACTTTGAATACAGTGCACGACACACCCCGGTGCGGTGTAGCAACCCACCCCATATACGTTGCAACGACGCCTGCCGGAGACAATGTAATAATGCACCTCAAAGAATGTGACTTTCTCCGAACACTTGAAGCTCTCTTCTTACAACCCACCACTATGACTTACATGATCAACTATGGCCCACGTGGTCCACAACTCATGTTGCTTCTGACTTTGACCCCTACAACCGACCAACGACATCACAACTCACCATTATGGTTTATATGACAAACTATGGTCTACGTGTCTCACAACTCGTGCAGCTCTCTACTTCGGCCTCTACACCTACGGACGTCATCACAACTCACCATTACAACCCACTTAACTAATTAAGGCTTGCATGGTCCACAGCTCATGCAACTCTCAACTTCAATCTCTTTTACCTGCGGGCGTCAACACAGTTTACAACTACAGCCTACGCGACCAACGAGGATCTATATGATTCACAACTCGTGCAAATCCTGACTCCAACCTCTTTCACCTACAAACGTCATCGCACTCACCACTATGACCTATATGACCAGCTACAACCAACATGCAGCTCTCGACTCCGATCTTTGCGGCTTACAAACGTCATCACATATATTAAATCATTGAACGTAGAGCTTAATAAAAAAACAAATTAGTATTAAATAATTACTAACTTATTTAATATAAGCTCAAAAATAATACTATAATATAAAAACTTGTGACTATGTGAGTCACGCCTGTGTGTTTACATATATATTTTAATTAGACATGCTTATGATGTATCTGATAGGTGTTGTTCATTGCACAATTTATTATTACAAAGTATAATAACATTATAAAATAAATAAATATAATTAAAATCATAATAATTGATATGTCATCAATAAATTTTCATTATTCGACATGAATCCCGAAGTATAACATAAATCTCAAATATTTTTTTGAGCACTAGACGTTCAAATTTAAATTAATAATCATCGAGAACTCTAATTCCAACAAACTTACTGCTAAGTCGATGGAATAGACGAGACAGACTCAATGGAATAAGATTTGATCTAATCTAAGTCGGATCAAGCCTGAATTAAATAATTAAACAAAATTTAGAAACTTCGGGTAGTTAAGTGGAACTTCAAACAAATTACAAATCAAACAAGTTTATAATCAAATCGAGCATATTAATGGTATGAATCCAACAATCACAAAATCACTCAATCTCAACATTACTAAGACACTTAAATGTTCACAAAATGTCATCCCAGCAATGGAACCTAATTCCTTATGTGCAGAGAGTTCTCTCTCATACTCTATAAATAGAGTTCTAACTATTCGTGAAAAGGGGACCTAGACCTCGAATGAGAGGAAGTTCGGGACTTAGAGGTGAAAGAGTTGCAGTTTAACATTATACAATGAAGGCCTGGCAAACACTACCCACTCTTGCAACTTTTGACACTCATCGATCACCACTCGTTGGTTGCCCCTTACTCATGGAAAAAAACCCCTTAGGTAATCACGACATGCAATGTTGTATCTTGACATATGTGCATT